CCCCCCGCCAGGTCTGGCCGAGGTCTTATGGAGCCTTGATCCATGTCTGTGTCCGTGTCTGTATGTCCGCATGGCTGTGGCCCCTGTGAGTGTATGTGTGCCTGTGTGTGTCATGAATGTGTGTCTCCATGGCTTCTGGCTTTGGATCTGACCCTTGGTTTCCTTATTTGAAGAAACTGGGTGTCCTTGGCTGGTTGCAGGTTTTAGTTGAAACGGTGGGTGGTGGTCTCACTGAAGCAACAGGTGCTGCAGTAAGCCCTGCATACATGTGACACTGTGTCCTCTGGGCTCCCCAGGGGTAGGTGCACCACCTGGTACCTGGCTGCCTTCCATGCAGGGCTCAGGGACATAGTCCTGGTCACTCTGGAGAGAGCATGGCAAGGCTGTCCCAGCCCAGCTCTGCACAGACCCTCCCCAGAGCTGCAGTGGAGTCTGAGTGCAAGTTCCTGTGCTCAGCAGATGCTTGGCAGGTGCTAAATGTCCTGGGCTGGCCTACTATGGGGATGCTCACACACGTGGTGTCACAGACCACCCTTGGAGGTGTGCGCAAGGCATGATCACATTCAGATGCTGTCCCTTGATGCCATACACGTCCACACTCAAGCTTGGTCTGGCACTCCTTGTGCCGGGGCTGGGCACACAGCCTCACAGGTCCCACCTTCCCCATCTTGCCTTGCTATAGCCAGGACGGCGACCTCCCCACCCTCATATCCAGTCTGCATCGCAGCAGCCACCTCGTTATGCCCGAGCATCAGAGCCGTTGTGAATTCCAGAGAAGTGGCGTGGAGATTGGCCTGGGAAGTGCAGGTGAGGAGCACAGAGGTACCAGGGGCCAGGACAGGGCTGCCAGGGCTACAGCAGCTCAGCCTGAGGACAGCCCTTGCCGCCACCCTCCCAGTGTCTCTGCTCAGTGGCTCTGGATGCTGCCACCCCCAGCAGCCTTGGCAGGCAGCCAGGGAGGCCAGCGGAGGAGGCGGGAGGTGGCGAGGCCGGCTGTCCCCCGGGGCTCCATGTGATGGTAATTGCGTTAATCCCAGCCAGCAGGGCAGACGGGGGTGGAGGCAGTGGCTCCATGGTGGCTGCTGCTGGGGTGGGCTTGGAGTGGCCAAGGCAACTGTCACCCCCTGCTCACAGGGGCAGATGGAGGCAGGGGATCGGGGATGTGCAGGCCTCATAGAGAGGCTCAAATGCACACCTGCAAATGACATACACAGAGCACCCACAAGCCCCACAGGGCACAGTGTCCCAGGAGGGAAAGGGACTGGGGCCAGGACCTCTGAAGGGGTAGGCAGGAAGGTGCTGGCCCAGGAACTCTGGGGCCACCTCAGAGGGGTGGCTCCTTGAGGGGGCAGGAGCTCAGAGGGAGGGGGCTGCTTGAGGACCCAGGCCCTCCTCAGAGGACTTGGCTGCGGAGAGTGGGGTATAGCTGAGCTTCAGCTGAAGACAGAGGGGATGTGGGGTATGAAAGAAGCTGGCAGGGGTCCCTTGGTGTCCTGTGAGCCCTAGGCAAGGAAGTTTCCGGGCAGACTCAGGAAGGCTGGGCAGGGGGTGGTCCAATTAGTGCCCCCAGCATGCCTGTGCCTGGAAAGGCCTTGTGGGTGGGAGTGGGGTCTGCTTCTGGAGGCAGCTGAACAGGCGGCTGATAAAATCTAATTGCCCTATCGATCGGGTGGAGCCTCGGGAGCCCCACAATGATTGAGATATTCTGAGCCAGCGCCCCCCACCCCAGACAGTGCGCGTGCACGAGCGTGTGTGTGCCCTGCCCCCAGCACAGGCTGTGCTCAGAGCCTTGGCATGGCTGGGCCAGGTTGTCCTCACTCTCACTTTGTGCTGAGGTCACACTTGCTCTGCAGGAAGTCCCACCTGTATACTGGGTCTAGGTTTCATCAAGGTCTTGACCTCTCCTGGGGGCTGTGTCCCTTTTGCCTCCCGCCGTTCCTGTGGCCTTGGCATGGGGTCATCTGCCTGTCTTCCCCAGAAGCCACATGTTATCCTGTCCCCACAGCCCCAGCCCCTCCCTGGCCCCTGAGCAGGAAGGTGGGGAGGGCTATAAGAGGCCCAGGTGGGTGGGGGCTGCATCTTGTGATTGTGGGTCTGCTTCTGGCTCCCGGCTGTGCCCCTGTGTAAATGTGGCCCTGGTCAAAGACTGGTCGCTCAGCCCCCTGGCAGTATCTTACTGCAGCCACCACAGCGGGTTTCACTGGGGGACCCCTCCCACCCCCTATAGAAGGGG